TGTTATTAGACTAAATAGACATGATAGTTTGAGTTTTTCCAGCTTACACTAATGAGCATTATCTGAAATACAAAATTTAAATTAGCAAAATATGAGCTGCAAATAATTACTTGGAATACTTAAGTTACGGGGCAATGTATTGAATATAGAAGCTATATGATGCATGTGTGGAAATCCATGTATAGTAGATTTCCGATAATCCGGCATCTTTGGGACCTAGGTGGTGCCAGATTATCGGATATGCCGATAATAAGGAGTTACTATAAGGAGGCGCATACTCCTAACCCAATCCTCCTCCTCCTTATGTTTGGGTCCTGGAGCCGCCGGTACAGCCGCACGTCTCCCTCCAGGCACTGGGGCACATGTGCTGAGCGGACGGCTTTTCAATGAATTGGCTGGGATGCTGTACGCAACCCAATCCTTCTCTCCTCTTCCCTTCCCCAGAGCCAAACACCTCCCCTCCCTGCTGTCACCCAATCCCCTGTCTGGGTCTCAAAGCAGCTGCCTGTGCTCGGCGGTCGGCTGCTAGTACGTGCAGGCTGGACGCTGTGCACGCTGGTGACTGTGAGTGGCACAGCGGGCCGTCAGCACGCCTGCGTCTCACAGCGGCCTGGCCATGAGAGCAGCTGACCTGAGCAGTTCCGGGTTCCAGTTGATGCTGGACTATCAGGAGTGCCGGATAACTGGATGCCAGACTAGGAGTTTTACTGTACTTAGCCAGATTTCATATGTGAATATGCAGGTACTTTGCTGTTTGCAGGAGTATGGTCACAATTGATATTCATTACACTAGGCAGAGGAATTTCTACCATATGATTTCTTAATAGTGTCACTCTTGATGTTTTGGTAAAATGTTTGGATTATTCACGTAGAAATGCCTGCCTTTCAGGAATATGGAACATGTTTCTGCTCAAAAGATAGCATGACAGAACCCAGCCTTAAAACTTACAATTTGAGATGCCTGAGAGAAACTAGGAAACTTTCAGATCCCTGCATTTTTCTGTGTTCCAGAAAAATAGGGGTGGCCAACCCACAGCTCGCGAGCTGCATGCCGCTCTTCTCTCCCCCCCCCCCCAAAAGTGGGGCTCGTGAAGCTGCCCCCACACCTCTCCAAACGGCCCCCGGCTCCCTGTGCTCACCGGCGCACAAGAGCTGTCTGGCAGCGATTCAAAATGGTGTCCACAAGATGGCGGCATCCAAAAGAAGCCTGATGTGGCCAAAAAGTCTAAGCCAGTGTTTTTTCAAGGGGCAGCTTCTCTTGTTTAATAGGTTGGCCACCCCTGAGAGAAATCATCAAGGATCTTCACCTTAAACAATGGAATCCTTGTAAAGGTGGAATTCCAGGAGCTCTTGTAGCGTTTAGGGATGTCAACATGTAGACGACTACATGATTAACTGATAAGGCTGGGTTTATCAGTTAATCTTGCCCACTATACTCATTTCCCCCACTCCTTCCAAGCAACAAGTGGAGAGGTGGCGAGCAGTAGATCTGCCTGCCCTCTTCCACCCTTGTGCTTCTGCCTCTGATAAAGAGGCAGCAGTGTGGAAGATGAGGGGGACAGGTGGGAGCCCACACGTACGGGGAGACAGCTTTGCAGTGCCGCCTCTCCCCTGCCATGGGTGGAGGCTGCCATGAAGCAGCCTCTGTCTGCAGGGGGCCTGTGGACAGAGCCTGCTGCCTCCCCACACTGCTGTCTCTAATACAGAGGCAGCAATGCATGGAGGCAGGCAGGAGCCGGTCTGCATGGGAAGCCATTTTTTAAACTGTCTCCCCTCATGGACTGGCTCCTGCCTGCCACCCCACACTGCTGCCTCTGATAGAGAGGCAGCAGCGCAGGGTGGCAGGGGGCTCCCTGGGAATGGGACTGGGAGCACATTGGCTGCCGGCCCCACTCCCAGGGACTATCGAATAGTTCTGTAACCACTAAAATTTGATACAGTTACACAGCTATTCAATTACACGCTATCTAACATCCCTAGTAGTATTCCTGTATATATACAATATACTAGATGATTTACCTGGCATTGATCAGGTCTTTAACTCTCTCACTGCAGCAGCTTGGTGCCATCTGAGAAGTTCCTGTCCAGGACAGTTGCAGCTAAGCAGGCACATTCTGGGGATACCCCTCCCTTTCCATTTTATGAGACTTAATCAAATTCCTTGCACATTCCATTGTCTTGGCACAACCAAACCCTACCCTTGCTTGAAGTTATGATAAGGGGAAGCTACATACCAAATGTGGTAATCCTAGCTCTTACCGTTTATGGGAATTCTTGAACAAATGGATTCACAGATGGACAGATGCACATTTCTAAAATATATAGTGAGAAGAAGATATGTCTCTTTCCTACATAAAACGTATTTTAAATATGAAGTACTCTAAAAGAGCAGATAAATACAGATGGTATAGCTGAAGCAAATAGTAAAATTTATAGAAGGCTAGATAGGGTTCTCAGGACCATAGTACATACTTTTAAAATTATATAAGCTTTCATATTATTGTACAAGATGAATTAACAGACTTAATATAAGTGAAAGTACATAGAGTAGAAATATGGTTATAGTTAATAAAGAGGGTTTAAAGAACAATTCATTTCAGTACTCTTCACAGTGGATACTTTTCTATGCTGAAGTTTTTATCCTCACTTTGAGGCTGTGGTTGAAAATAAAATACCAGGTTGGCATTTCATTTTGTTAGCCCTTGATTTTGGTGATACAAACTAAATAATTCTTTTAGTGTAAGTGACAGAAAAATGTTAACCTGCGGGTTTCTTCAGACAGCGTTCATGCACCTGGTATATATTAAGTAATTTGAAAATAGTGGCTGTGGAAGTTTTGAATATTAAAACGAGAAGAACCAGATTGAATATTTATCTCTGTTGCAGAAAGCCATGAGTGTAAAGTGATAGCTTTGAGTCTTACAGCTGGATAAAATTGTGTTTAGGCCTCAGTAGTGAGGCGAGAACTTTGCTACTGTTTTCACTCCCCTAAATCATTGCAGGACAGCAAACTGAAACTTCAATATTTTGACAATAAAAATATAGCTTATAATGTGACTTTAATAGTCTATATATAATTTTGGTAGCTGCTAACATGTTAACATGAATATTATGTGGTACAGGCAGTCCCCGGGTTACGTATAAGATAGGGACTGTAGGTTTGTTCTTAAGTTGAATCTGTATGTAAGTCGGAACTGGCGTCCAGATTCAGCCGCTGCTGAAACTGACTGCCAGTTCTGACTTACATACAGATTCAACTTAAGAACCCCAAGCTTCCCCAAGTCAGCTGCTGCTGAAACTGATGAGCGCTGATTCCAGGAAGCCTGGGGCAGAGCAACTCTGCCTCTGGCTTCCTGTCGTCAGCGCT